TTTATACGTGTTGTATGTCGCATACTATTTGTTTGTGACGTTAACACAAAACAGTTAATAGTTTTAGTATTACACAAGTTGTTTATCTTTATTATAAACCGACAATTTTGATCCAGACTCTCTGTATTCAACACATTGACTATAATTATTAATAGCTCATTCATAATAGGAATATCATTTTGTGATGGACATTTGTCACTGCATTCATATTTATCAGACAGTTTCACGGGAAATTTGATTTTCTAATTTATTTAGTTGACTAATTTAAATTATAATACTCGGTGTTCAGCATTTGCGATATTTTCGTTTCGTATGTTAACCGTGGATGTGCATATTCAAAGTTAATTAACTTAATAAGTACTGCGAATCAGAAAGCAATTGGTTTTAACGGTGATTCGTTTTGAATTTACTACATAAATAAATAGACTCGCGAGAGTGGTGTGATTAATTACTTATGTAATATTAACATGTTCAATTGCATGGCACCGAATGTTTGTTGAATGTCTTGTTTATTTATTATATCTCATGTTTTGTAGCACATAGTAAATCGAATAAAAAATAAGTTAAAATTTATCTGTATTTAACGTGTAAAAATTACCTTAACTTGGTAATTACTTCTAAATACTGTGAAGAGTCACCATGAAGATCTCTTCATTACAAGCTATCTTCTATATTTCTTAATTGACAAAAGGAATGAAATAATTAAGAATTATTGTGATGATTTTCCAATCTGTCAGTGTCAAGGAGAACTTTAAAGTGAGTTCAGTATAGTCACTCAAATATATAATATAATCAACTTATTTTTATTAACAATATATTTGGTCATTGTTTTATTAACAATTATGTATTCCAACGAATTTTCTTTTTATGCTACTGCTACATCATTTGACTATGACTACATGTAACATTAATTGTATGTAAGGGCCATAAATTCCTCACTTCCAATGATTTAAACTTCTGCTTAGTTCAATATTATGAAATAACAAGTCTCAAATTACACGAAACCACAGTTTCCCAACAGTTGTTAGATCTGATAGCCCTAGATTGAGCGGGGGCAATATTAACATTTTGAATGTTCCCTTACTTCATTTGGCTGTATCCTGGAGCTTTATCGGTGTTTGAACACGAGCTATTACGTTTGAATCCGGGATTATTGCTGAGTTCCTCTCATTGACCCTCTCAGGGTTGTAGTGTTATAAGCCGATTTGATTCCCTTGTTCTTATTTACGCTAAACTTTAACGGCTGAACTAAATAAAAGAGGCAGGGCCTCGTGTGTTTTAAAAGCATTAGTCCCACTTCCTGAATATAATTATTAGTATGTCCAATTATAGACTACAGAGGTTCCTTTTATATCACTAACGCCCATTAAGACTTAAAAACGACTTTAAGCTCTAATAAATGTTTCAAATATGTTTGTTTTTTCCCTAATTTGTCATTAAACTATGACATTTTTCTTGTATGATAATTTTAACGGATGTTAGACTACTTGATGAATTTTACGGTTGTGTGTTAAAAGAGAATTACTCAAAATTAAAGCCGTGGGTTCACGATATTTTCTATAATGTATATGTCAAAACAAAATACAAAAGAAGATATAAAAAAATGAAAAGTATCAAAAACTAAAAAAAAGATTTTATTGGGATCGTTGGAAGCAATATTATTTACAAAATTTAGAATATATGTTAAGGTTGTTAAACTCTACAAGCTATTTATATCAGTACTACCGTTAAAGTCCTCTTTTACGCTATCTGACAAAAACTGTGTTACAAGTTATGTGCATTAATTTATTATGAGTAAGTCAAAAATAAAATATCGACTCAAATAACGTTTAAATAAGGTTTATATGTAATATAATATTCAATGTCAAGACACTTTGAGTATCAGTGGTAAGACATAATTAAGTAGAATTTAATATTTAAACTCCTGATGAGCAACTCTTGATGAGTTTCATTAGAGTTATTCAGGGCTCAGTATATTTATAAAACTATACTGAGCTAAACTGAGTTTACTGATTTATATTTGACTGTCAAACTTGTTTGTAATTATAGACACGAAAAATTTAATCAGAATAAACCGCAAGGGTATTTTTGTATTGACGATTTATTTGTAAACATTAACTTTAATAGTCAGGGATTTAATTAAAGATATTTTTAAATAGAGTTTAAGATTAACATCTCATCTAGTTTATAATGGAAAATGTTAATTTTTTAAAAATGTATTACATTTCCGTTTAATTATGTGCTCTGTTTATCACAAATAAAACCAGTCTTTCTATATTTCATGCAATAAATTTCGTTAACTCTTTGCCGTGTACAACTTTAACACTGAGTATTAATACCGAGAGAGCTACCAACAACTTGTAACCGAAACCAACTAATCCTGGAGTAAGATTTATATATGAGACCGCGTAACGCACTGCGGCTACGGTTCGTAGCCCGTTTCTGTATTCTACGCCGCTACGATGCTACGATGTAGACCACCAATTACTTACTTAGCATACTGATTATATCTGTTAGCACTTATTGATGTTTATTTGTTCAATACTAAACCATATACTTTTTATATTAATTTGTCCAACTTAATTAGATTGGAAGAAATAGTTATAAAGCGTTGATTACTTACTATATGTTTCATGCTTCACTAGAATATACTTTTGAGTTTAATAGAGTAGCTCGGTGGCGTAGTGAAATAGCCACGCGACCCGCGATCGTTGTTGTTAGGGAACTTTCGCAAGGGTCGGTCACGGGATGGGTGACCAAAAAATTATTATCTCCGTGCTTCGGAAGGCACGTTAGGCCGCAATTCGTGGCTGCGTCTGTAGTCGTTAATATCCTCCAATCCGCATTGGATCTGCGTGGAGTCATGGCCCATCGTCCTTAACCATCCATAAGGTTGATGACAGTAAGTAAAGTCAGATTTTAGGAAATATCAAAACAACTTTATGTAATTCTCACACGCAAACTGTTTAGCCACACTATTGCTCTGAATATTTCAGAGGCATGGCAATAATCACCTAAATTTGCATATTTCCTTACTATTATGTTACATTAACATAGCATTTTCTTGTAAAACAAGGAAAGAACTCGTATTATTATAATACCATAAAACCCGTTATTGAAAAAACAATAGCACAAGAAAAATATCAGAACGACGGCAGTATTATCGTATAGAGGATAAAATAAAGCCTCATTCGACAACTTACGCTCGATCGAGTGTTCCATTACGCGCAGTATAGGGACAAAACGCTGCTTTGCATATATACTAATCCTTCTTCACTTATGCGAAAGTCGTATGTTACAAAATGACTTGTTATCGAAACTCGGAAAGAGAAGTTTAAATGTTTTTTTTTCTTTACATTTACACAACAAGAGGAGGTCAAAGACGTAGTGGTAATTCCTTCCGTCAACGTTACAGACAAGGAACTTTCGCAAAGGCCAGTAATAGGATGGCTGACCAAAAAGACACGTTGTATCTTCATTTAAAGTTGTTTACATGCACGCATCTATTCGATTTGTCTATTCGATCCATAGGAAAGGCAATGGAATTATAATAGGCTGGTGATGATGAAATAATGTTTGGTTAGGTCAGAAATGTGATCAGGAATTTTTTAAGTCCTTTGTTCTGTGCCGTTCTATTAGAACCCAAGGTGAAGAAAGTAGCCTATATAATATAGATTATATTAAAAAGGTTAACAGCCCTTTGTAATTAACATAGTTACCACACAAGGCGTGATGATATATATAGATAGAGACGTACGAATCGTCATGACTTCTGAAGGCATAATCTGATACTTTGAAAAATTTCGTTTATTTTCGAAATGCTTATACGACTCTAGAGAAATGCAAATTTCATTATTTTATGACGCAACGGAGAGAGGACCCGACATTGATTCTGATGCACAGATAATACATATTTACGAATATGATTTCAACAAAAATATAAGCGAAATTTTCCGAACGTTAATTCTTACAAGTTGTCGACAGATAATTTATATTATTTTATAGGTACGTAAATAAAGTACTGTTTTAAATGTCACCTGACGTTCTCCCACGCGATACTGTTTAATGCGTACGCTAATTTGTTCTTACGGAATTTCGGATGTGTGAAAGCTTTAGAAGATAAGCCTTCTTAGACTTATTGTATTGTTATAATGATATTTGTTTTTTAACTTAGATATTTGTCTGTATGACAACTATGAATAAGAAATGAACGTGAAGCAAACAGAGCCAGAAAGTTGAAAACCTTATATTGCTTTATTCATCGCCTAGCCATTAGAAGCACTCACAAAGTCGAAAACGAGGCTAGTTCAAAAACATTTAGCAAGAAACTCAGTAGGAGCTACTAAGACCTTTCGAGAGGCTAAGATAAATATCAATTGTGAATTATAAATTCATCTAATATTTAATTAAAACCCATTGACATGTGAAAATAAGGTTGGAATCTAATCTATCAAGAAGATTGGGCCACCCAACGGGCCCATAGCGGAATCGTTGGTTGTTAACAACAGCAGGTGCGAGCGGTACCAATGGATTGACATGCCTTGAAGAGCACGGAGTAGAAGAAAGAGCTCGAGATAAGAAAATCTTGGTCACCCATCCCATGACCGGCCCTTGCGAAAGTTGCTTTCGTATCACAGACAGAACGCGCCAGTTACAACACAATTAAGTTCAAATATAAGATTTATTTTTTTATAAAAATGAAATCATTGATGTTTACGTGGAAACGAATATCTCAGCCGTATTCAGTTGCTCAATATAATAATTAAATAATTCCTAATAAATGAAACAAACAATTCTTCAAAATGTTTACCTTTGAATAAATACTGGAACATTGTTTTATTTTAATGAAGCTTTTTGTAGTAGAAGAAGTATTTAATGGGCACGATGAATGAGTATAAGAATTTCAATTGATCAACTTTTTGTATTATAAATTTGGGGCTACTTTTGTTTTAAATGAAAATACTAAATGTGATGCGATTCACTTATTAAATTTTTATATATTATTTTTTTCGTTCTGATATTTTGAGTAGCTCGGTGGCGTAGTGGTTAAGCGCCGCGGCCCGCGATCGTTGTCGTTAAGCAACTTTCGCAGGGGTCGGTTACGGGATGGGTAACCAAAAAAATATTATCTCGAGCTACTTCGTGCTTCGGAAGGCACGTTGAGCCGTTGGTCCCTGCTGCATTTGCAGTCGTTAATACCCTCCAATCCGCATTGGGCCAGGGTGGAGGGTCATGGCCCATCCTCCTTAACCATCCATAAGGAAGGCCTGAGCCCCTGAAGTGGGGACATAAAAGGGCTGATGATGATGATATTATTTTTTCGTTCATAATCGTGTGGTTCATTTGAGACTGGTAATAATTACATTATATATAAAAAGAAAAGAAGAGGACAGTACGGATGAAATAAAGACTTAAGTTAGACAAGGGAATAGAGATATTGCGGTCTTAGAATTTTACAGATATTCTAAGCCCGTATAATGTAACATTCTGACTCTGTAAGAGGCTGACTGGCCTACTGACTGATTACTGATTATAATATTGTTTTTAAAACGAGTATATCAATAAAAGGAGTTGAATCAAGATTTCGATATTTTCTCACATCCTTTTTGTTCATATATATAACTAGCTTTCGCCAGCGGCTTCGCCCGCGTGGACCCTAGGGAAATATTTTGTGGGATAAAAAGTATCCTATTATGTAAGTCAGCTAATACCCTATCTGTATACCAAATTTCATCAAAATCCGTTCAGTAGTTTCGGCATGTTTGACCGACAAACATCCAAACATCTAAACATCCAAACATCCAAACTTTCACATATATAAAATTAATAGGATAATACCATTATTTATCAAGTTTTATATTCAATATCTAATTAAAACCCATTGCCATGTAAAAAAAGTAGTAAGTGCTACTTCTATGGAAACAGAGAATATAACCAACTATAATAGCAAAGCTGTATAATAGCAATATAATTGTACGGTCTTCCAAACAAGCTCTTCTCATACGTGAGGCGTTATCGACACATTGTACTTAACACGTTCCATTTCACCGAGCGCTGATCGTTAACCGTATAATCAAAGTTAAATTTCGAATACTCAGCATAATTTTAACACGAAAGAAGTTCTATTTTTGTATGTTTGTACATATTTGAATAGTTTCTCGTGATGTGGCTCATTGTTAGTGGGGTGAATTCTTTAAAAAACATCAGTTTATTAATATACTCCACTGCAGCGCTCTGACTTTTCTGGTCATTAAAATCATATGATTTAAAGTACGAATTTGGAGGGCGAAATCCATTACGCAGTCCCTATATAGATTGGTAAGTATAAATTACTGTAAATACAGCCAGGACCAATAACTATGTGCAATTATATATTTGATGACTGATATTTGTGAGAAAGTCTTAATGTCACGGTGTCTGAGAGCCGCCCACCAGGCGCATCGTTGCCCTGATAGCATTAGTTTGCAACTTGCGGTATGCGAGCTTTTATCTTAAATGCGATACGTCGTTAGTCCGCTAGTAGCTAGCGGTAATAAAAATAAAGACAGAGCTGCTGCTGAGCTTTTTAAATGTGCCATAACCTTTAACTTCAAGGTATTATATTATTAATTGGGCATTGTGGTAGATACGTATTTAATGCAATTATAGGGTGAGATGAGGGAAAGGAGATATAAGTGTACAAGAGATATTGACGTGAACTTAATGCTTACTTTGGATGATCTAAGGATTCGTCATTAACTCACTATCGAAAAACAATTCATGATTCCCCGTTCCTTGTACTTTCTTAATTACATTTATGTTAATGTTTTAATGTGTAATGCTTTCATAAATTGAATAAACTGTTCAAATTCGATATCATTTAGTCAGTCTAGGCTGTTACAATTACTTGTGAATATCAAAAGCTACGCCATCGGTTCGCAAATCTATGGCGGAAGACCTTGTACTGAGAAGAACCGGCAAGAAATTCAGCAAGAGCTGCTTTTTTCTCCCTGTTTTATTTTATATAAAGAAGTTAATTGATAATATAACTTATCTATCTATCTAAATGTAGCTGGATCTATAATAACATAGACAACAATTATTAGACGAAATTTTAGAATCATAGCTATCGAATATCATATCGTTTCCGAGCTGTAAGTTCAGCGATCGTAGAATATAATTGACATTAAACATCTTGGAAGGTAAAAGCGTCACTTACATACCTATATTCTAAGTTCGACATTGTCTCTTAAGGAGTGTGTGACAAGCACGATGTTGCCGTCTCTTTCCTTAGTTGGATTAGACTCGCATCATTAATTCCTGAAATTGCGTTCACGTGACCCTCCACCCCGAATCTTCAATTAAAGCTAACTTTCCAATTTCATCCACCAAATACAATTTAGACCTTGAATCGTATTGATGATCGACTGACTATTTAAGGCTTAAACTTGATAATTTCGTGTTATTGTATTTGTTTTGGGAAAGTTAGTTGTACCGTGAAACTTCAATAATAGACGGCAATTGCTCTAGTTTATAAAGTTTCGAAGTAATTTTCATGAAACAGTTTATGAAACAGAAAAACTTGGTTTTGCACTTAAATGCATTGAGAATAGAATTAGAAATCGAATGTTAAATAATTATATAAATATATATTGATGTGATCTGCCGTGCTATTATAAGCGTATGTTTAAATTTTAACGTTAAGTAAAGGTTTAATATATTAGGATTAAACCTTTTTGAATAAAAAAAAATAAAAGAGATGATTTATTAGGCAAATAAATGCGTTTGTTAAGGAAATATGAAACGAATAAACAACATTCTTTAATTTCGTTATATTAAATGGAGTTTGTAGTTGTATGTTTTCATAATTGCATATCCAACTATTGTTCCTTAAAGTAGACAAACCGGCCAAGTGTGAGTCGGACTCTTTTCATTAAAAAAAGTTAAAATAACACGTTTGTTGTTTTCTTTGGAATGTTCGAAATTTTTGAGTTAAATACAATTGGTCGACTATTACTCGTAAATTTGTTAACCCAACTTAAGTGTGATAGTTTTTCTTTTGACTTCGTTATATATACGTACTACCACCGTAACGTTTGAATTTATACCAATGAGCTATTAGTTGGCAGGGAGGGGACATGTGACTCTTTATTAGCTTTTTAAAACTTAATTAGTTACAAACAATTTAAACGATATTAAATCGAAAGACGGTGTTCCCACACCCCACATGTTGCACGTTATGGGATAGACGAAAAAAATTATCATCCCCACTTTACATGTAGAAGAGGTAACACTAAATATTTTACCAATAGATTTGAGCTGAACCCGGGACGGATGGACGGACGGACAGACGGAAACGGCAAACTATAAGGATCTTGTTTACTCCGGAACCCTAAAAAGCATTTAAACAAAACGATATGCATAATAACCGCCTACTTCATTGCAATTCCAATAGCCATCGTTATCATTCTACATTTAAACTTATTGAAATATCACATTTTAAAAAGCATGGATCAATAATAAAATTTATAACCATCAATTTTTTTTTTCAAAGTTATAACCATTCCATTTACTCCTTCGGTACAAATCGACTGCTACCGCTGTTTCATGTAAGTGATTGTTATTATTTTAATCTTTGTTTAATTTCAGTTGATATCAGAGCCACTTTCAAATTAATAAACGGCAGATTCAGGCCCAAAATTTTTAAATATTCTTAATAAGCTTTGTGAACAGTGAATTTTTACTTGTTTTATTACTGCATTATCAATGAATACGATTTTGTAAGACATCGTACAATTTTACATTAAAATCCTATTGAGTGGCTATTCTTGTAAAGTTGTGGCATAGTCAACTACACTTTCAAATTTAGAACTTGCTTTAAAAACAGAATGAATGAATGTTTATAAAAATTAACGAATATCGTTAGGCCGCAGAGATGATGAGAGGCTGCTACTGAAGTCTCGATCAATCAGCCGTGAGCTGCGCCATCTATCAATGTGTCGGCCTCCCCGCCAGATGTCGGTAGCGGCTAACGAGAAATTAGAAAACAATTTTCGCTTACTGACACTTTACTGTATGTATGTACACTTTGCATGCAAAGTTGTATACAGTGGATAGTCATTTGTTTACTGGCAAAAATCTAGGAGTCCTCACACTCGTAACTATTGTCGAGTAGAATTACTTGAGTAAAACCAATAACTTAGCAAATATTTTTAACCAATAGAATTTGAAAAAATTAAGAACTGTCAATAGCTAATAATAATAGTATTGTAATTTTTGGGAGTTCTAAATTAATTAATGTTTTTGTTTATTTGTTAAAATTATTCAATTTAGATACGAGTGCTAATGCGACCGGCAACTTAACAGGAATTATTTTCGACACTTGCGAATTGGATAACGGTTTTTCTTATATAAATAATTAATATAGTTTTAAGTAGTTTGATTAACTAAACGTTTTGCTTGATTGTTTGTTGTTAATTTTCCTTGAATAGGCCTTAAAACATCGGACTGATTAAAAAAATCTTACCTGCAAAAAGTATGGTATAGATACTCGGGTGTCATAAACTATAATTTCTACCGTAAATATTTCAGATATCGAACAACTGTGTGTAGAATAATAAGACCATTGAAGCTAGAAAATGTTTATCACTAAATAAAGTTTAATTTTTTTTAATAAAGATAAACATCTCAGATTTGAAATAATGACCTAAAAACCATTTACAAAATGTTTTACTAAGCGCAAACAGGCAACGGTTATCCACGCTTCTTATTATATTAACGCGTGCCTACATAACGCATTATGAGATCTTTATTTTTTATTACAGGAAAGAGGATCGTTTGGAACAATTTAATCGTAAATTTAACGTCCACGGCACGTACCCAAATCGGACACTTTTATGACATTGGACACTCCGCGTTAAATGCGGGGGGCTTAAAAAGGGTTGATAGCCAGTAGCCTTGTCACCTGAAAAGCTGAGGACATTTTGGTACCTTCATCATACGACAGCCGGACGTTCATTGATAATTAATGGACGTTGCCAGTGTAACGAGAACAAACGACGTGGCACACGATACGATTAATATGATTGCGGCGCAAAAACAGTCGTAGCCTTGGCGTGATAAATCATATCTCCTTGAAGGCGCAAAAATAAATGAAACTAAAGATAAATGGTTCACATCAGAGTGCTAGTCGATTGAGTTGAGTGAATTGGAAAATTAAAATTGTTACAGGTGCATGCCTCGGACGGCCGCGCCTGTGGAAACGGACGCTAATTGAATTAAGAAAAAAACCAGCCATGTCGCACTGCTCCAGCTGATTTATGCAATGATGTGGAAAGTGGTCTAATGTAAATGGTATCCAGTAATTGAAATAAAGTATTAATTACCTACACGGGAATCAATTCGATTATTCATTGACGAGCGTGGAAAATATATATTTCAAAGGAATTGTATTGTAGAAAAGTAGAGTGTATATTAGATTACGTTATTATCCTCGTACATTTTTATATCTAAATATATATAACTCAAAGGTGACTGGCTGACATAGTGATCTATCAACGCACAGCCCAAACCACTGGACGGATCGGGCTGAAATTGACATGCAAGTAGATGTTATGACGTAGGCATCCGCTAAGAAAGGATTTTG